TATATATATAGATTACAACATATTATTATGCCACCATTAGTTATAACGAATTTAATATAACTTCTTCAAAAAATAATGAGTTTAAGATAATATAAGTTATCCAGGTAGAAAGCAATTGTTTTATACAATGGACTGAGAAAATGTATATTTTCTTTTTTATACCAAAGTTTATTTTTTAACTAAAAAAAAAACCTTCGAGAATCGAAACCAAAAAATAAAGAAAGATTTTGTTTTTGAGTATATTTGAAAAAGTACTTTTCCTTCTTAAAAACATTTTTAAGAATGTCGACGTAAATTGCTTCAACAAAATCTCACCAGATTCAGTCACGCTTGTATTGATATTCTGAAAAGAAAGTTAACTGCAATAAAAAGATCATTTTCTGTGGAAATAAACCACACTAGAAACTCTCATCGATCATCATTTCACATTTGTTTAAAAAAAATCAAAGCAATAAGACATGAAAAGGGCAGTTAATGTTGGACACTAGGCAGTCAAATTGGAGGAAAAGCAAAAAAGGTACACAATATCTAGTATCATTATTTTAATAACCGTATGCAATAAAAACAGAAATTAAAAAATAAGCTGATGAAGTATTTAATTATACTTTTTTAAAGTAAAAATATGAAGTTAAAGTTTTAAAGAACAGTAATAATCAAAATGTTTGAATTATAGAGGTAGCATCGTTTTTCCAATTTTTGTATCAATTAACTCTGTTTTAAAGCAATTGTTCATTTAATTTTTATGTTACTCTTTATACACTGTATTTCTGTCCAATAAATGTAAATGTATTTTATTTTCAAGGCTCACTTAAAATATTACTTCAGATCGCAATGAATTTTAGTTCTTTTTTTGTAATGTAAACAATTGTTTATGGCCAGTATCCAATTAAAAAATAAATCTTGAGGCAAAATAAAATTTAAGACTCGAAATGTGTTGTAGATTTAATAATGTAAACATCTCTGGTATATCACAGACACAACATTTTTTGAAAAGTTGATTATTCTAAAAAATCAGAGAAATATTATTTTTTTTCCTTCTTTTTTCTTAGCTAAGTTTTCAAGTTTAGTTTTGAATTTCTTTAAGTACCAACGAAAAGGTCACTTAAGAGCTCCATTGATTTATTCGAAATGTATACATTTCATAAATTTATTAGGCCATCCAGCAAATTAAGATTATCTTTCTGCACATGCCTGACCAAAGCGCCTATAATTTTATTTTAGGAAGACAAATGCATAAAATGTTTTGTCATTTGTAGTAGAACTTCTAGTAACCACACTGTTAAAAATTCGCGATAAAAATACGGTATTAGGGTGCGGTTAATCTTTACTGTAAAATTAATTTTTACGAGAGCATATTACAGAAAAAAAAATTTCACATATTGTAATTTTTATGTAATAATTACCGTAGCATCTCTGAAATCTTTTTAAATGAATATTGCTGTTAAATGAATCTTATTAAATGAATATTACTGTATAATATTTTACGGTAAAAATAGATTTTACGGTAAAATGTATGTTGTGGATGATGCACACCAACAAAATGCCGATGATTTATACAGTTATGCGATCCGCAATTTTTTACAGTACATCCCTGCATTTACAGTAATAATTACCGTAAATAAATTACTGGAATTTACTGTAGATTATGAACCGAAAGTGCCGGTACTTAATACCGTAATTTGATCCGGCGTTGTTTACAGTGCATTTATTTACTGGCAACAATTCTACACGTTTAGATATTTTTTTAATTAAGTTGAAGCCATTTAATCTTAGTTTTTGCTTTATAATATTTTTTATAAAGTTTCTTTTCTTTAGATTTTTAAGCATTTTCGTTTATTTTCAAATAAATCTAAGAAACCTGAAATAACCATGAAAATATTTTGAATTCTTAGCGAACAAATAAAATAAAACAAAATTCTTAGCGAATAATAAAAAAGAATAACGAATACAGATCAGAATCAATGATGTCAAGCAAGATCCAATTTACCGCTTGTAAGCTTTCCCGCCAACCACATCTCACCACTAGACCGCGCCCTGATCTTCTTCTTCCTCCAATCACTATTGGTGACTTAGAGCGCTCCACAGTGGCTCTGAATGGAGAAGTCTTTTCACAAGCCTGCTTTCACAATTGCGATGGCATCTAGGTATGTACTTGTCTTTCCATTCATCGTTTCAAATACAAATACTTCAATAAAAAATTGAGTTTTTGAAGTGACAGTCCTGTCTGAATGCTCTATTTATGCAGTAGATGCCAGATTTGAATAAATGTTTTCATCTAAGTAGTTTTATTGAGTTTTATTTACGAAAATAGTTAATGTTAAAAATGAGTATGTCATCAACTCGGACGTTTTAACCTCGATTGACACCTGTGGATTGCTGAGGGAATCTAAGAATAAAATTTATTGATTTGTCTTCATTTCTTTTAATCGGTTCTAGTTGCTTTCGCTGAAAATTGTTAAACTGAAAATGATTTGAAAAATATTGGTATTTTAAAGAGTTATGACCAAAAACTGAATTTTGCATATATTGTTATGAACATGAACTGAAATAACGTTAAAAGAAGTAACCAGCTAATTTGGATCCAGTCATTTTATCAAGTATGTAACAGTTTATTATTTCATTTTAAGTTTCGTAATTTATATTTCAAACATTGTTCATTTTCGATACGCACTTGCTTTTTTATTTAAAATAATTGTCAATGAAGGCTTTTAGCACTCAAATCCTAATAAAAATTCTGAAAAGAACATATTTTTTAAAACAAATTATTTAATACCAAATCATAAATTATCTTTATTTTTTTTAACATTGCTTGCTTGTATTTAACTTTTATCTACCTAAAATTTAATTAAGTTACTAGTTTTATTCATATTAAAAAAATAAAATTCCCGTTTCTAACACCTGACGAAAAAAAAACCCAAACGTTATTTAGATTATATGTACGTTCTTGATGTAATTGTTTGCAAATAGGGTAAGCGTAAGCTATATTAGAAGATGACAAGTATTTATAAACAAACTTTCCTTAAATAAGCTTTTTTTATTAATAATAAAATAGCTTTTATACGTTGCAATCTTTCATTTTTTTTTTGTCAAGAGGTGAATTAAGCTGCCTTATTCTAAAGATTATTTTTAGAAATTACAAAGATATTTTTAATTATTAAAAACCTTTACAAAATATTTCAAGAAATAAAAAAAATGAACATAATTTCACTTAGTATTTTTTTCACTGATGCTAAATTTTATTTCCTTAAATTGCTATTACCTCTGCCATTATTAGCTTTAAGCAAATCTATATTAAGAGTAACCATTTGCTACTTAATGTCCATTATAAATAAAATATTTGAGTTATCTTAGAATTTAAGTAATCTTAATAATAAATTATAAAGAATAAAATTTTAAATATACGTAATTCGTAATTATACATAAATAATTTTAATTACTATTTAACAGATTTTGGTGCAAATCATACTAAAATATTAAAGATTATATTTATATTAAAATTGGAGTTTGATTTTTCTACGTTTTGTTAACGATGCATGATATTCCTATTCTGTACGAAATTTCTGATCAAATTATGGTATAAATTATTGGCACTTAGGGTGCATCATCTGTAAAATTTGTTTTACTGAAATTCCGCTTTTATTATAAAATATTATTCCGTAATTTTTACAGTTTTATTTATTTAGTTTGAGTGATTCAGTGATTTTAAGGTATTTAATACTGTAAAAATTACGTCATATCAGATTTGTGTCCCGTAACATGTTCCGGTAAAAATGGATTTCATGGTAAAAATTACCGGCATCTTGAGTGTCGGTACTTTTCACCGCAATTTGATCTGGAATTTTTTACAGTGGGATTTGAAGATATATATTAGTGCCTTATTGTGGCACTTAATTTGATAATTAACTTATAAAAATCCCACGAGAAAAGTTAAAAGTATTTGTCATAACCTATATTTTATTTGTAAGTCGTATGAAGTGCATGCTTTAAAATTTAACCTCATTCTTTGACCCCACTGATGAAAGAAACTTGTTACCTGTTAAGTTTTTTTACAAACTTTAGACGCTTCTCTTATAAATTTTAAATATTATTTTGTAGGAAAAATTTTACAAACGATTTTTCATTTATTTCTTATTTAAAAGTGTACTCATTAAAAAAATAACCTTTTTTTACTTTGTTGCAAAAAAGATTATTCGAAATATTTCATACAGGAACGAGAGTTGTATGGAAACTTATAAAGGATCGTGTAAAATTCGTGCAAATGAAAACTTATCAAGCCTAATCGATTATGAATTCAGTTCATCATAATTAATTTAAGCATTCAGTCACTTATGTAATTCGTTTTACGATGTTCCATGTCATTTAATAGGCGTCATATTCTCACACATATTTCAATTTTTTTTTCTTTAAAAAAATTATTTATTAGAAAAAGTTTGATAGGGTATGGTATTAATAATATACAAAAAGTGAATTACATTTATAAAAATGAAAATGACATATTAGTGTTTGAGCGAAATATCCTGAGGAGAATAATAAGACCTATTAAAGATAAAGACGAAAGGTGAATTAGATCGTACTTTGAAATGTATAAAATCATAAAGGGTAAAAATATTGTTAGCTTTATCAAATCCCAGCACCTCTCATGTCTTGGGCATATAGAGAGGAGAGAAAATAATTACGGCTTTGAAAGATCATCAACTACACACCTATTTGAACCAGGCTCAGAGGCCGCCCAAAATAAAGGAGTAAGGATGACGTTATTGACGACTTGGTAATAATGAAGATCCGTAGGTGGAGGGAGAAGTTAAAACAGAGGACTGTTTGGAATAGAATTATGGAACAGGTCATGATCCCCTAAGGGCTGTAGAGCTTTAGAAAAGAGAGAGAGAATTACACGTAAACCTGTAGTTGTGGACTTATTGTCTAACAATATGTGTTTCACACGAGGGATTTTTCCCATTCTCATCACGCTCAATAACCCCAAAGATGTATATATTTTTTTCTAGATAGTACACCAATTGTTACATTAAAATTATAAAATGTTCAATTAAAAATAATCTGAATGGTTCGTTGCATACGAATTTAGCAGATATTCAGTTAAGTTATAAAGCGAGCCCAATCATTTTGAAGCGGCTAATTTAAGATCATAACCAAAATAATAAATTTCAAATACTAATAATAACCGCAAAATGATGGAAAATTAACATCAAAGTAAAATGACTATAAAATGAACTTTTCATGTCTTTCGTCCGGTCGAGCTGTAGGAAAAATAAATTCTTAATCGTCATTTTAATATTTCATTGAGGATAATTTAATCAATCCCATGTTTGTGTATAAAATTTAAAATCTTGATTTTTTTTTCTAAATGATTTTTCATGCCAAATATTGTTTTTCTTTTTAAAAAAAATGTAGCTTATATTTTTAGTACTTTCAATTTATATTAGCCATTTTTCGATAAATACAGCCAATTTTTACTTTCGCAAATAAATATATTTATCAAATATGAGCAGTAAGAGTAACCTTTATAAAAGTTAAAACTAATGTCTTAAAAAAAAACACTGATGTTTTCGTCTCTAGTTTTAGAAATTTTACTTAATAGATTTAAATTGTTTTCTTTGTTAGGTTTTGCCTTTTTTATAAACTTAATTTTAAAAATAATATAAAACACTTCATGTTTTTAACCGTAAGATGATCGTAGAATGTATTTCAGAAATACTATTTTTTTCATGCATATGTGACCTAAATAGTACAGGAAGAAAACAATTCTGGTTTAATTACCGTTCTGGTATAATAATGACATTTCGGGCAACAACAATGAAAAAAACATAATTCTGGTAATAAATCCAAAATATATGGCTTTAAAACCATTCATTTGGAAATATATATTATATATTTATTGTACGTTAGTAAAAATATCTATACACTGCAGTTCATTTTTCTCTAACTGGCATTTCGAATGTCTCTGAATAATTTTATTTCCTTTCTGATAAATAGCTGTGGTAGTCTAGAGGAAAACCGGATCCTAATTTTTGCAAATACACCTCTTTTCATTAAAATAGTATGAAAATAAAAGAAAATCATGTGTATGTGTGTGTCTTTATGTGAAGTAAATGTTATCGTATAAGATATAATTATTAGTATATAATTAGTCAAATTTATCCATAATATTTTATCTGTAAGGAATAAGATCTGATTAGATCGGACTTAAATAATGCATGAATATTTATAACAGTCTTATGAATCACATATTTTTTTTTTAAAAAAACATTTCAACCAAAGAGCTCGAAACAAAATGTAGATTAATATACTAAAGCATATTAATATACTAAAAGCATATTAATATACTAAAGGAAATTTTATTTACCTAGAAAAATTATAAAACATTTTAAAATCCATGCCATAGCTGGAAAATTATAGAAACTTCCTTAAAAAATCATTTAATTGTTTCAAATTGTTTCATCAGTCTTATTTTATGATGAGTAAATTAAAGATGTTTAAAAACCCATAGCAACACATTAAAAGAACTAAAAATTTAAAAAACTTTAAAAAATTGAAGGTTTTAGCTTTTAATATAACTGATGTATTCCATATAGAAACATTGCTACAAATGTTTGTCTACAGATTCAGTGCTTGTCAACATTATTTTTTTTAAAAAAGTGAGGCATTCAAATATAATTTATTTTATACATTTTTTTAAATATTTGAAACTAGATATTCCAACATTCCAACAAATATATATATATATNAAAGTATTCTCAATTTGATGCTGTGATATTCCCTGCACATTATCTCCATGTTCAAGAATTCCTCTCTCAAAAATCTAGTATCAAAAATATATATATATATATATATATATATATATGTTTTTCAAATGATATGTACTTAATATTAACATGTATAAACTTAACATGATTTCAACCGTTAATGTAATGTTTGATTTTTTATCTGACGCACAATAATACAAGTTACCTAAGATTTGAAGTAATTAAAAAAAATTATTTTTTTTATGCTCAATCATTCTCTAAGAAGTTTTTTTTCGTGTGTTTCGATGACGTGTTTTCAATAATGCATAATTATAAGAATGTAATATGTTTAAATTTTAACTTTGTACAAGTATTTTTAAGTGTTTACCTTTTCACAAGAAGTAATTTTAAAAAATGAAAACATATATATATATATACCTTCAGGATCAAATTTATTCACATTATTTATACTTTCTTTTGAATATCATACATAAAGCATAGCATCAATTAATTCTAGAAGTATGTTTCTCTCGCTATACAAAGCTATCAACATTAATATAAACGACCACAATATATCTCGCAGTAGTTAGAGGGTTACGGTTGGACTAACTTTTGTTAAGGCAACTGTAACCACACCGAAATATATTACCCAACATATAGCTCAAACATATCTGTGAGTCTGTTTCATCCTGTTATCTTCTGTCATGAATACATACGCTTGGGTAATTAATACTCCGGGATATATGCGAATCTCTGAATACAAAATGTTTAGCTTTTCTTGTCACACATATCATTATAGTCTTTTGGAGAAGTACTTTTATGAAATATAATTTTAATTTAAATGAATAAACTTACAG